AAGTGCCCCCTGCTGCACTTGTGCTGGACTAGAGCATGGGTGGGGGTGGCGAGCAGACTGGGGAGAGCCATGGGGCTCCTTGCACACGAGGCTGGTGCTCCTGATTCCCTGGGACAGGCATATCTAGGTGTGAAATTGGAAAGTGATTTTTCCCCTAGGATTTTATTACTAATGACTTATTTGTATAACTGTATATGAGTATGGTCAAAGGTATTTTACTTATTTGTGACTTTGGGCTTGATAGTTCTAGTTCGAATGGATTAGAGGTCATGTGGAAGAATAACCTTGGCAGATCCTCATTGGAAATGTCTACTAAAGAGACTTGGAGTAGAATTTACATTCTGTTCCACAAAGGCACTGAATGAATTCAGCACTTACATGTGGGCTAAGAACAGGTCAACAAAACAGAAGATCTTGGGTTCTGATCTCTCTTCTGCTGATCTCCAGTTTTAACTTCAAGCAGTGGTTGTCAGTCTCTCTCCAGCCTTCCCCTTTGAACAGTGGGGCAGACAGATCCAAGGAGGGCAGAAAGTCCAAAGGGGGTGGCTGGGCACGTGTACAGACCAGGTGGTTACCTCCCAGCTGTTTTATTTTCCCTCGCCCCCTTAATCACTTCTGCGGAACCCTAGCACTTCATGGGACATGGTTAGTGAAATGCTTGGGAGCAGAAGGAGCTCTAGACTGAGGGCCATGGACTTGGGCTCTGTCCCGACCCAGCCCCAACCTTGGGCAATATTCTAAGAGTCTCTGGCCAGAGCTTCCTCCTTTACAGTTGGACTCACCAAGGCCCTTGGCAGCTCCACAATTCTGACTTCATGTGAAAGTGCTTTGGAATGAGATGGGAGCCGAAGGAAAAAAAGGCGTTTGGTTGGTGGTGGAACAAGGAGAGAGGAGCTGAGCCTGGGCTGCTGCTGAGGCTGTGGGGCTGGGGGAGCCGCCAAGAGGCTGGCAGCAGAGGGGCTGGAGGGTGTGAGCAGGGCTGGTTTGTGTAGTGCTCTGCCTGGCTGTGAGTGGGGCCCGGCACCAGCCTGTCAGGTACTCAGGCCTTCCCAGAATCTCCAGGCTGAGCTGGGGACCTGCTATTCATATGCCCTGACATCAGCGCCTGGGCCTGGCCGGAGCTGCTGCATTGGCAGCAGCACATATAGTGCAGCACTTCATGTCCTGGGATCGGCCAAGACTCACCTTACCGGGGACTCACCCCTTCCAGGGGGTCATGGGTCCTTTGCAGCCTCCCCTCAACTCCTGCTCCAGGGCCAGTAGGGGCTTCGGCCAGCAGCGAGGGAGGCAGGGAGTGACACCAGCCTGGATTTCATAGGACTGGCCTGAGGGTGCTCGAAGGCTCCCTGTGCCTTTGCTGGTGCTTCCCATAGGTGAATTGGGCCCAACAGTACAGCTGCTCCTGGGGCTCGAGCCCTGGGGGCCCAGTGGAACAGCTTGTTTCATTGAGAGACTTTCTGTCAGGGAAATTTTGTTTCACCTGGGAAGGAAGGTCACAGGCCAAGAAGCCATCACCCTCAAGCTCCACGTTGTTTAGCAGAAGTTCAGGGGAAGCTCGGCAGTAGGTTGTAAACGTCAGGGAAGAGTGTGAACTGGACTTCCTGTCCAGGGCCTAGGATCAGGCACACACAACAGTGTGAAGGTCCTGGTTAACCCCCGGTGTCTGGAGTCCTCACCCCCAGGGAAAGACGGTCTTTTGAGAATGTCAGGAACGTTACAGGATGTCAGACCGAGAGTCTGTTCAGCTCGGTACTGTCACCACCATCATCACCATGACCATCATCATCATCACCACCACCACCGGCATCATCATAACCATCATCATCATCATCATCATCACCGTCATCACTGGAGGGCAGCAGGGGCTGCCGTGGAGAGGGCTGGATTGACTTCCCAGAGGAGAAGCCTCAACCACTGCTGTTCCAAGGGTAAATGCCAGGCCCTGGGAGAGTCACCGGAACTTGAGAGTCTCTGTGGGCTCCCTCACAGTGGGAAGGGGCCTGGAGCAGAAGCCTCGGGTCAGGATTATCTGGTCTAGCAGTTGCAGAGGTTTGCAGCTTTGCGTATTAGAATTACCAAAGAATATTTTTTAAAGTCCTGATGTTGGTGCTATACCCCAGACTATTTAAATCAGAGCTGCTGAGGAATAGGACTAAGAACCAGGTGATTTAATATAATGGTCCCTAACATTTTTGGCACCAGGGACCGGTTTCATGGAAGACAATTTTTCCATGGAGGGAGATGGTTTCGAGATGATGCAAGCACATTACATTTATTGTACACTTTATTTCTGTTTTTATTACATTGTAATATATAATGAGATAAATATACAGCTCATCATAATGCAGAATCTAATGCTGCCGCTGATCTGACAGGGGGTGATGTGAGCCACAAGGAGTGGCTGTAAATACAGATGAAGCTTTGCTCGCTTGCCCACTGGCCACAGACCAGTACCAGTCCACAGCCTGTGAGTTGGGGACTGTGGATTTCATATGTAGCTGATGCTGAGAATCACTGGTTGAGAGTTGGTTTTTAAAATTTTTTAAATTTGTTTTTGTTTTTATTCTTTTAGAGACAAGGTCTCTCTCTGTTGCCCAGGCTAGAGTCCAGTGCCATCATTATAGCTCACTGCAGCCTCGAACTCTTGGGCTCAAGTGATTTTCCTGCCTCAGCCTCCCAAGTAGCGGGGATTATGAGCTGGCAGTTTTATGAGAGGCAGTTTTATGAGGTGGTATAGACCACGCCTCTCAAACTGTAATGTGCAGATGAATCACCTGGGTGTCTGTTAGACTCTGTTAAAATGTAGAGTTTGACTCTGGCTGGGCTGGGGTCTGAGGGTCTGGGTCTGTGTCTCTGTCTCTGTCAGTCTCCCAGGTAACACTGATCCTGCTGGTCATTGGACTGTGCTTTGAGTAGTGAGAGTGTAGAACCCCACTCAGAGGTCAAGCAGTCTCCTTTGTGGCTCTGTGGTCACTGGCTTAAGCCAGGTATTGGGTCTGTGACATTGGGTAAGGGCCTCAATGCCTCTGGTTTCAGTCTGCTAACCTGTACAATGGGCATATGAGCCATACTTGTTTTAAAGAAACAAATAAGATTAAATAAACTGAGTAAGATTAAGTTAATGTTTTACATAGAAGGTGCTTAAGCATTGCCTGGCAGACTGAAAAATTGTACAGATGTATCTCATATGACACATATTACATGTATCTTGCTGCTCAGAGGACAGTCTGTCTCTTTGGGTTAAACCAAGTCCCTGCTATTGGGAAAATGAGATGCAGGTAAAGGAGTCAGGACTTACCAGTATGTAGGTAGTAATGAAAGGATATTTAAATGAGTAACATCCATTTAAATATTTCTCCCTGTCCTGCCCTCCACTAAGGGACCAGTAATTCTTGCTGGTACCCAAATCTAACTATGGACCCGCTTTTTGCAGGGCCCCAGGCCTTGGGCACACAGAATTAAAACTTGGTTCCTACAATCCAGGAGCCAGGAACAGCATGGAGCACCAGCCCAGAGAGAAGGTGTGTGCAGGGAGACCGAGGTGCTGATGGCAAGGGGCACCTGTGCCCCACCAGGCACGTCATGCGGAAAGCCTGGACAAGGAGTCAGCAGTTCTGGGTTCCGGTCACACCTAGTGGTGATGTGTCTGGGGCAGGTCAAAGACCTTCTCTAGACCTTCACTACTTCAGTTCTAAAATCTTTCTGACAATAATAAAGGAGGTAAAATGGGGTCCTCAACATGGAAGTACTTGGGGAAATGTTTTCTATATCAACGTAGAGGGCTCCTCTATAATAAGAGGCACCAGTGCTTCCCGTCCTCCCGAATTTGACAGCACATTGGCTGTCTGTGGGGACTAATGAGAAGATACTTGTTTCTGATCCCTGGAGGCTGCCCCAGCTCTCAGGATACCCCGAGGCTTTCTTTGTGGGAGGCATAGATGGGAGTAGCAGTCTGTGGCCTGAGAGAGGGGGTATCTGCACCCAGCAGACAAGTGGGGTGCTGCCTCAGAAAGGGTCCTTGAGAGTCAGGGGAACAGGGCCGGCAGGGAAACCAGGGCCTTGTCAGCTGCCCTAAGGGGGGCACCTGCGGTCCCCTCATCCCTGTGAGCCTACAGTGTCCTCCCACGGTGGGCCTCCTCCTCAAACAGATCCCAGCCTGAGTGCGAGTGGACAGACTGACCCCTGACCCCATTTCCCAAACATATTAGTCTTGACCCTTGACAGAGGTTTCTGGCACAGACTTGCCCTCTCCTGCTTTGTCCTTTGCTCTCTGGGCAAAGCTACAGGCCCTTAGAAGGGGATCCCCTCGGAAGGGGTTGGCTGAGGCCACCAGGAAGGTGCTGACCGTTTTGGATATCTCCTCCTCAGGCCATGTCCTGTCTAATCTAAGGTAGCAAGGCCAGCAAATGCCTGTCCTTAAGGGGACAGGGTTAGATGTGTGACTTAATAAGGTTGAGAGCCACAAGTAATCCCCTAAGTACTTTGCTGAGTAACCTAAGATTATCTGGCCTGCAAACACCTGTTTTCACTCCTTTGCTGATAGCAGTATAAAAAGTATACTGGTTAATGACTCTAGGAACTGACAAGGGGTGGGGTGTACAAACATTTGTCCTGTGTTGCACGTGCCCATGAGCAAGGTTGACGAAGGACTAGAAGGGCTCACCCAAGTTTCCATCCATACGCAGTTGTCAGGACCCAGTGGGGAGACTCAAAGGTCAGGGTCAGGGTCGTGGGGCTCTTGGATTAGGGCAGCCGCTCACTCCCTCAGTGACGGACAGCAGGTCAGTCCTCTAACTCCCTGGTCCACGGTTTGCACGTCTTGGGAGGGAGGCTCTGCTGGCTACACACAAGGTAGTCACGAAGAGCAGGGAGGTCAGTGTGACGCTGACACCAGGTGACACCACACTCCTGGAAGATGGGAGCTAGATTGACGTAGACTTTTGAGAAGCAGAGCCAGTGCCAACCCTGTGAAACTGACCAATCATGTTCTAATCATTTAGAACTGCAAGTCTCTGCTTCGGGTGGCACAGAAGATGTTGGCAATTTGTTGGAGAGTCATTTCTCTGCTGGAGACGCAAGTCTAGAGGAGAAAGAAAGGGCGCTTTATGCAGATGCGGCCCCAGGAGACGAGAATCTACTCCTTCACTACCCAGATGGCAGGGAGGCTGAGAGCCCTGAGAAGACTGCTGCCGGGGCCCCTCCGGCCGCCACCGGCCCCGGCTCCGATCCCGAAGCCAGCCTCTCCAATGCCTCAGCCACAGAGTCAGCTCCTCCTGAGGACAGGGATGCTGCAGGGCCTGGAGAGGAAGCGGAGGGCCCCCCAGCAGCAAATGTCCTTCCTCCAGGAGGGGATGAGGGACCTGGGGAAGAAGAAGGGCCAGGAGAGGAGGCATCTGGGCTTGAGCTCCCCTTGCAGGGAGCTGCCCTTGGTGGGGCAGAAGAACAAGCTGGGAGTGGTGAGGTCCCCGAGGAAGCTGAGGAGGTCCCAGGGGACAGCCAGCCTGAGGCGGAAGGGGGCTCTCCTGGCTTAGCAGGCGAGGAGGTCCACGGCCTGGGCTCGGGGGGTACAGGCGGCCCAGGGCCTGGCCAGGAGCCAGCAGTGCTGGAGGGAGCCCCTGATGCCGTGGCTGTGGGAGAAGTGCTGGCCAACGTGGACTCGGGAGCCAGGGCAGGCACCGAGGCCCAGGGTGTGCCCGGCACAGACACGGAGGCCAGTGCAAAATCTGGGGGTGCCCAGAGCCCGCAGGCGGGGGGCTCTGAGGAGGACATGGATGAGGCCTCCTCTGAAGAAGAGTCTGGCGACAACAGTGGAATCCAGGAAGAAGGAGGAGTCCCATCTGCAGAAGAGTCGGGAGAAGACAGCGGCAATGGGGCTAGTTCAGAAGAAGCGGAGGGCGCCTCCGAAGAGGCTGGGGAGCCCCAGGAAGCAGCAGGAACCGAGAGCGATGGGGACGAAGGGGCCCGGCTTGGCTCAGAGGAATTGAGTCAGGGGCCCAAGGGTGGTGAGGCCCAGGATGCTGGGGCAGAGGAGCTGGAGGAGGGACTTCAGGGGAAGGGGACTTCCACAACTGCTCCCCAGGGTAGGCGTCAGTTCCTTAAAAGGAACCCAGCACTTCAGGCAGCTGAGTTCTTGTGAAAGTCGTCTTGGAGGGAGGAGACAGGCAGGGACAGGGAGGGTGGGAGAGCCCCCAGCCAGTCCCGGTCTGGCAGGGAAGGGCCAGCCAGCAGTCCCCACCTGGGGATGTGCCTTCTGGCTGCACATTACCTGCCTGCTTCTGGTGTGGAGGGACCAGTGAGAGGGTCTGGAAGGCCTGGTACTTTTGGGTCAGGCCCCTGAGCCTCCCCTTTGGGGTCCCTGGATGCACTTAAACACACACTAGTGCCTCAGCCGAAAGGACTGGGGGACTCATGGTAGGGTCCCTGTGGCCAGCTGGTAGAGGGATGTGCAGGGCGTTGGTGGGGGTGGGGTAGGAACGCCTGGCTGATCTCCTGTGTGGGCGAGCGCCAGGGGTCTCCCCCTGAAGACTGGGCCACAGGAGGTATTGGAGAACCAGAACGCAGGGAGAACTCAGGTGCAGTGTGACCACTGATGTCTTTCAGATGCCAGGAGAAAGGGTTTGGGAACAGGGCAGGGCCAAAGCTATTGGGCAGCTTTAGGGTAGTGTCTGATGCTGGGGACCCACCAGTGCCAACTTAGACCAGAAGCTGGGCTGTCAGGGTGGGGCAGGGTGTTAAGTCTTCACTTTCTGAGACAGCATCCCCACGGGTTTGCCTGCAGGATTTAAGTTGTGTGCTGTGTGAGATACTTGTGCTCTCCAGAAAGGGACGTGCCGCAGTCAGTAAGCTCCTCCCCTTTCCCTGCCCCCCCCCCCAGTTTAGGCAAAGCTCACTGTCCTGAGGTGCTGCATAGAACATAGTGATTCTTTTTTGCTTCCCACCCCAAGTGGAAGTGGCCTCTGTCTGCCCCGCAGCCTGGGTCTGTCCCCTCCTAATTACCTAAAATCCCCTCTGCAGGCAGCCTGGGTAGAAGTGGTTGGGGTATTAGAGGCCCAGGGAGTTGAGCATCCCTCCCACCAGCCTACAGCCAGAGTGGAAATCTCTTGCTTGCTTGGTCAAAAGGACAGTCGACCCCCTTCCCCTGCCCCAACACACACAAGAGGGGCTGTGGGGCCCCTCTCAGCCCTTCACACACAGCCAATGTGACCCTGGTAAAGTGCTCACTTGGCTGTGACACCTATCTGCTTAGAGCCCCTCCCCAGCTCCCTTTGCTCTTATGATGAAATGCAAACCCCCAGGGAGACACTTGAGGCTCTGCCAGGCCAGCCCTGTGGATGTCTTCAGCAGCCCAGTGCTCAGGACACTCAGGATGTCTTCAGCTCTGCCCCACTGCAACCGGACACCCTTTCCTCCTGCTTCTTGCTGAACAACTCTTGTCTCAGGACTTTCTCAGGAAACTCCTCTGCCGCCTTTATCTAACTCACCCCTACTCAGCAGTGGACCCAGGAGGTCTTCTCTGACCCTTTTGCTGAGAGTATGCAGGCACACTTTTTGGGCCCTCATAGTTTCTGGAACATTTCCTTCCGTAGTCATCTCACTGTTTATAATTATTACATTATTTTATTTTTTATTTGTTTTAGAGATGGGGTCTCACTGTGTGGCCAGGCTGGTCTCAAACTTCTGACCTTGAGTAGTCCTCCCTTTGAGCCTCCCAAAGTGCTGGGATTGTGGGCGTGAGCCATGACCTAGCCTGTTCTTTCATTTTAAAGGCTGTTCATCATGTTTTTCCTCACCGACTAAGGGAAGCCACCTAAGGGCAAGAGCCCTGCCTGTGTGGGCTCCCAGCCAGGTGTAGTAGGTGCTTAGCACATATTTGTTGATTAGATAAAATGGCTCATAGAACTTGGGAGCTTCATGAAAGTTGAATTTGGGATTTCAAAGTTCATCCCAAAGGCAGAACTCGGTCCAGTGCAACTTGACGAGACTTTGCTCAGCCTCTGCTCGAGGCCCAGATCGGGGCAGGCTTCTGAAGGGGATCGCTGGCTCTTGGCTTTGCCCTAAAACTTTCTCTGCTTCTCTCCCCAGAAGAGACAGAGGATGTGAATGAGGAAGTCCTGATGAGGGACCGCTCCCACATTGAGAAAACGCTGATGCTGAATGAGGACAAGCCCTCCGATGATTACTCTGGTAAGCGGTGCAGGGAGTGGGCCCGAGGCAGTGCTGGGAGAGCAAGAGCCAGGGCACGCAGGCAGCGAAGGGGAAGCCCTGGGCAGGGAGGCTCTGTGGGGTGGCTCTGTGGGGGAGGCTCCAGGAGCAGGTCCAAGGCTGGGGATGCAGATGGGCAGAGAGGAGGAAGGTGAGGGGAGCAGGGGACCTGTGTGAGTGGTGAGGGTGACCCCCAGTGCTACTGCCATGCTCTGGGAGGAGAGGATGCTTAGTAAGAATTCCTCCCCTTTGATTTGATTTTTAGTTTATAAACCCCTGTTGTGTACAGTGTTTTTATTTCACTCTCATAATAACTGAAGGATCTCAGCAGGGCTCAGTGTCTCTTCTTCATGCATGAGCCAGCTAGCGCTTGGAGCTAGCAGCCATCTGCTCCTATCCGGCAACTAGAGGGTAGTGGGGCTCTGGCGAGTCTAGCTCGCGGGACCCTCAGCCCACAAGCTTCCTCTAGGTGTCTCACACCGGTGGGCTCCCAGGCTTGCCCTGGAGCCGTGCTCCTCCCTAGAGGAAATATGGGCTACCGACTCCTCCAGGAGAATCTGGGAGGGTAGTGCCTCTTGGGCATGCAGTGATAGGCCAGGGCTAGGGCCAGGGCGCTGTCCTATGGGCCTGCTGGTGCCTTAGCCTCAGGCAGCACATGCAGAGGTGGGTGGCAGGGAGAGAGACTGCACTCTTTTCTGCCAAAGGAAGGGCCTTTGGGGTAGGCTGCAGGCTGAGGCAGGGACACACTATTGATATGGGCAGGGAGGAGGGAGTTAGGTTTAAAAAAACAATAACTCAAGAGGCTTTGCAGGGTGAGTAGGAGAATGCCTTTTGGTTTGAAGGTTTCTGAGGGTTGAGATATGCACCAGCTCCATGAACGCTAATATATCACATAGTCGCTGGGCTGCACACAGGGTGGGAGACTCCTCCACAGTGGAGGAGCCGCCTGGAGCCCACCCTGTCTGACGCTCTCCCCATACCCCTCTCTGCCCCCAGTGGTGATGCAGCGGCTTCGAAAGATCTACCACGCATCCATCAAGCCCCTAGAGCAGTCTTACAAATACAACGAGCTTCGGCAGCACGAGATCACAGGTACAGCAAGGGCCTGCAGTTGGGGGCCCGCACCTCTGACCACCCAGAAAACCCGGGTGCCCAGGCAGGTTCACAAGCTCCCAGCAGAATATGTGCAAGGACGGTGGGGCCGAGCCCTCCTCTGTCACACCAACCACCCTTTCACCAGAGGACTGCTGGCGCTCTCCAGGGTTTCACAGATAGCGTTTCATTTGCTAGCGTCCATGTTTCAGTGGTGCAGATTTTGATTTCCAAGGGCTGTGATGCCAACTTTGACCCCTCCTGTGCTCAAGAGCCAAGAAGTGCTCCCTGCTCACTCACGGACCACAGTCCTCTCACGGCCTGGACGCCTCCTTACCTCCTGTGGCTCTTCTCGATCGGCTGCCCTTGGGCCTGGATTCTTTTAAAAACTAGTTTTCAGAATAATAAAAATAAGGCATACTTGTTGCAGAAAAAATTTCAAATAGTGCAGGATAGTATCCATTGAAAAATAGAAATTTAATTCTTTTTTTTTTTTTTTTTTTTTTTTGAGACAGGGTCTCAGTTTGTTGCCCAGGGTAGAGTGAGTGCTGTGGCGTCAGCCTAGCTCACAGCAACCTCAAACTCCTGGGCTCAAGCAATCCTACTGCCTCAGCCTCCTGAGTAGCTGGGACTACAGGCATGCGCCACCATGCCCGGCTCATTTTTTCTATATATATTAGTTGGCCAATTAATTTCTTTCTATTTATAGTAGAGACAGGGTCTTGCTCTTGCTCAGGCTGGTTTTGAACTCCTGACCTCGAGCAATCTGCTTCGGCCTCCCAGAGTGCTAAGATTACAGGTGTGAGCCACCGCGCCCGGCCCAGAAATTTAATTCTTAAGCTCCAGCTTCCTTTAATTCTACTCCCCAAGATATCCACTGTTGTAGTCCCTTGTGAATACTTCCAGACATTTCCTTTGCATATGTGAACATATAAAAGCCTTTTGTTGTTGTTTTTACAAAAATGGGATCACATTATGCAATGTGTGTGTGTAGATCTACCTCATTCTTTCCTCTCGCTCTTCTCTTACGTGAACACACCATATTCTGTGAGACAGGTACCCTACTGATGGGCAGTGGGGTGTTTCCCATGTTCCAATTTTTAAAATGTCCCAGACACTACTATAATCATTATATATTTTGTGCAAGTATATTTGTAGGATGAGTTTTACAAGGTGGAATACTAGAAATTAAACATTTTGCTGGTGTTACCAAATTGCCTTTGATGATACCAATCCATGCTCACAGTAACAGTAGATAGATGAGAGTTCTTGTCCCCCATGGCAATGCCATTTTTAAGTGTTGCTCATCTTCTAAAAACCTTAACAATGGTATCTTACTGTTGTGATATTAGAAATCTTTCCCCGTACTAACTGGCTATTACTATATGATCTCATTTGATTCTCTGTATGGTTATAAAGTGGATAGGGTATTAGAGGGTTCATGTTCTTCCTACTTTACAGAAGGGAAACTTGGGGCCCTGACAAGTGCTGGGATACCGAGGACCACACAGCTGGAGTAGGAGCTATAACTTTCTGTTTCTTCTTGGACAGAACTGCTCTGCTCCACAGCTACCTATACTATTTCTTGCAAGCCCGAGAGCCACTTGTCCTCTCCCGCTCTGTAGAGGGTGCACCGACAGTGGCGTGAGGTTTCGAAGTCTCCTGATGGCTTTCCTCTGTCCTCTGCACTTGCCTTCTCTCCTCAACCTAGGAAACACCAGTGTCTGGGCCCTGCTAGGAAACTCCAGTCTGGGCAGCAGCAGGGGCAAGGGGGCTGCAGCTGCCCCAGGAGTGGCGCTCTGGAGGGGGCCGCCCCAGCTCCTGGCCCTGACCATACTGTCTAGACTTGCCTCGTCCCTCCTGGTCTCTCCCGGCTTCCTCTCCCTCGGGCTGCCTTGGCCTTGGCGACTGCCAGCGATGCCCCCTGCTGTAGAGAGCTGGAACAGCAGCACCCAGAAAAGCCCTAGCTGGTTCGTCCCTGAGAAGTTGAAGGTCCAGCGTTCTCTTTGGCATTGCCTGGGCCTGTGTAAAGAGACTTTTTGTGAAATCTCCATGGCTGTAACTGAGCGACTCTGTGTAATTTACAGGCAGGAGACTGACCACATCCCATGTCAAAAGCCTCAGCTCTCTCCACCCCATCCTCTGGATTTGTGTACTACTTTTCCTCTTAGAGACCCCCAGCTAGAGTGGCCTATGCAGGGTATTCTCCCCAACATGGCCTTTGGAAGGACACTGGACACAGGCCCAAGAACCCAAGAATTGCCAGTTTAGCATTTGGTTTTGGACACTGGCACATTTGCCACGGGCTTTGTAGGGCTGAACTCAGGCCCACCTAAAGTTGTATATGCAGCTTCCGTATCCATGCTTCTCTGTTCTCAGTCCAGACTCTATGTGGAAGCTCCGTCCTCTCCTTTTAATGAACTCTTGTCCTCCAGATTTAACAAGGAGAGCTCGCCTAGAGTGAGCTCTGCATTGGTGTTTGTCGAATTCACTTAGATCTTCCTTCTGGTGCAGGCAGATTGTGCCAAGGTCTGGGCAAGGCCAAAACAATGACTTCTAGTGTTTCTGAACTGGGGGATTGCACTTAGGTAGCAAAAGAAGTGCCACTGAGTGCTACACATCATCTGATCCATGTGGAATAACATGCCTCGATTTGATGGATGGTCTGGGGCTCAGAGTGCTTTGGAGCTTGGCACCATCCTCACAGAATGTTTTTTAGTTCATTCCATTGCTAATTCCTATTGCCCACAGATGGGGAGATCACATCCAAGCCAATGGTGCTGTTCCTGGGACCGTGGAGTGTTGGTAAATCTACCATGATAAACTACCTCCTTGGGTTAGAAGACACTCGCTACCAGCTCTACACAGGTAATAGATTTTCTTGTGTGATTGTTGGTATTTGAATGTCATATGTAAAAGCAGTATGAAGAATTAAATTGTTTATATGTATCTTCCACATAATAATGAAAGTGTGTACAAGAAACTAGCAAATGTAGCAAAATGCTACATAACAGCATCATTCATGATAGCCAGAAAGTTGAAATAGCTCAGATGTCCATCAGGGGATGAATAGATAACCAAAATGTGATCTATCCATACACTAAAATATTATTCAGCCTTAAAAAGGAATGAAATTCTGACATATACTACCACAGGATGAACCTTGAAGACATTATATTAAGGGAAATAAGCCAGACACAAAAGGAAAAATAGTCACTTACACAAGGTCCTTAGAGTCGTCATACTCATATAGACAGAAAGTAGAATGGGGGGAATGAGAGTTACCGTTTAATGGGCACAGAATTTCTGATCTGGGAAGATGAAAAAGTTCTGGAGATGGACAGTGGTGATGGTTGCACAACAATGTGAATTTACTTAATGCCTATGAACTGTACACCTAAAAATGGTTGAAATAGTAAATTTTATATTATGTATATTTTACCACAATTTTAAAAAAAAGGGAAACCACCAGCTTAGCAAACATATCACATCTTGTGGCAAGACCCGCCCAAGAGGCGTGCTTATCCGCATACTTTACAGTAGGTCTACTTCCCAGAGGTCATTGTATCCCTGCTGCCCTACCTTCTGTGTGCAGGTGCTGAGCCCACCACCTCCGAGTTCACGGTCCTCATGCACGGGCCCAAGCTGAAGACCATCGAGGGCATTGTCATGGCTGCCGACAGCGCCCGTTCCTTCTCACCCCTTGAAAAGTTTGGCCAGAATTTCCTGGAGAAGCTGATTGGCATTGAGGTTCCCCACAAACTTCTGGAGCGAGTCACTTTTGTGGATACCCCAGGCATCATTGAGAACCGCAAGCAGCAAGAAAGAGGTAATTTAGTCCTCATTTCCAAACAGCAGAGCTCGGTCTTAGAAAACTGTTTTGACGGTGGGGGGTAGGCGGGCAGGGGAGAGGAAATGTGGCCAGCATTGTCCAAGACCAGGAGAGGTGTTCTTTACTTCTGCTGCCTTGTTGTTGTCACTGTGGTGCCACTAGGGCTTTGGTGTGCCTTGTCCTCCCACCTCCCCAAGCACTGATTTGGTTTGGGGATGGCCAGTATTTTCCCAAGGGGAGGACTAGTCTTCTCTTCAGGTAGCTCCTAGAGGTCCTCCTAGAGGTCCTCAGCCCCTACAGGCTGGGGCTGAGTTGTTTTGGGGAGGCCTAGTCTGTCCTGGGTGGCCAAGGGCATGGACTAACTGGATCCCAGTCCAGGTATATTTGACTTCTGGCTAAATTGAGTCTGGGGCTCCTGGAAGTGTTCTAAATTGAACCTGACCTTCAATTCTTCCTATTCCCTGTTTCTGCTTTAGCAGGCCTGCTTCCACGCAGCCTCAATCAGGCTTTCCAAAGCCCTACTTGCCTTCAGGTGGCATGGGAATGCCATTTTGGGCCTGGTGGGCAGGAAGCCATGACATAGGCCATTGAGCAGTGCTGTGACGCAAGGCTGTCTGCAGAGATGAGTCCTAAACAGGGCAGTTGTAGGAATGTGTGACCAGATGGTGGATCTCAGTTTATGGTTGTAACTAGATTCTGTTTTATTAGTAGTAATATTATCACTAATAATTATAATAGTAAATTAACCTTACTGTACTCCATTACACATTGGATAATTTTATGCATTATTGGTTGATCATTGTTTAAAAAACCATTTCAATATTTTCAAGACAGGTAGTCCTTGTTTCCTCACTTTGCAAATAATAAAACTGAGGAAACAAGAAGTTAAAGGAATTAAAATATATTGGGTACTTACTATTAATATATGACTGGCAGTTTCAGGTAGGTGCTTTCCTATATTAACAGCAACACAGTAATCTTTTTATCAACTTAATTGTTACTATTCTTGCTTGTTATCTTGGAGTTAAAAAGCTAGAGCTTAGAAGAATTTAACATTCAGTTCGCCAATGGCAAAACCCAAACAAATTCTAGTCTAGGTCTTAAGGCAGGGTCCATATTTCTTTTCTCTAAATAACATATCTAGTCTTTGAAACCTTATTCCAATTCTCTGATTTGTCTCCTTCAACACCTTTGCCATTGCCCCAGATCTTGTTAGACAATAGGAAAATCTCTATTTCAGACAAATATTTCCCTTCCCTAGAGACTTGGATTTTGCTGTAAATTAAAACAAGGATCAGGCTCTTCTTGGTTGAAGGTTGGCAAGGGGCAAGAGATATGCAGTTCATTTTTTAATAGTCTTTAGAAGCCCCCCAAGTCTCTAGTACTGTTCCTTCTTTCAACCCACAGAATGGTTTGGTTCAGAAAGGAGGTGCCAGGGACTTTGAGAAATGCCTTGAACTCAGGTTGACTTCTCACTCCTGTCTCCAAAGGCTACCCCTTTAACGACGTGTGCCAGTGGTTCATCGACAGAGCTGACCTCATCTTCGTTGTCTTTGACCCAACCAAGCTGGATGTGGGCCTGGAGCTGGAGATGCTCTTCCGCCAGTTGAAGGGACGTGAGTCCCAGATAAGGATCATCCTGAACAAGGCGGACAGCCTGGCCACCCAGATGCTCATGCGGGTTTACGGGGCCCTCTTCTGGAGCTTGGCCCCTCTCATCAATGTCACGGAGCCCCCAAGGGTTTACGTTAGCTCCTTCTGGCCAGAAGACTATAAGCCAGATACCCACCGGGAACTGTTCCTCAAAGAAGAGATCTCCCTCCTGGAAGACCTGAATCAAGTGATTGAGAACAGGATGGAGAACAAGATTGCCTTCATCCGCCAGCACGCCATCCGGGTCCGCATTCATGCCCTCTTGGTTGACCGCTATCTGCAGACATACAAGGACAAAATGACCTTCTTCAGTGATGGAGAACTGGTCTTTAAGGACATTGTAGAAGATCCTGATAAATTCTACATCTTCAAGACCATACTGGCAAAGACCAATGTCAGCAAATTTGACCTTCCCAACCGGGAGGCCTACAAGGACTTCTTTGGCATCAACCCCATTTCCAGTTTCAAACTCCTCTCTCAGCAGTGCTCCTACATGGGAGGTTGCTTTCTGGAGAAGATCGAGCGGGCCATCACCCAAGAGCTTCCCGGCCTCCTGGGCAGCCTCGGGCTGGGGAAGAATCCAGGTGCTCTCAACTGTGACAAAACAGGGTGTGGTGAGACCCCGAAGAATCGCTACAGAAAGCACTAGGTTGTTGTGTGGCCGGTCTCAGGTTCCTGTTGGTGAATGAGCTTGTGTCCTAACTGTGTCTGAGAAGTCCTGGTGTATTAACCCTTTGAGCCACACTGGTGAGAATTATTACACATTGGAGATTTGGGAGTTCACTGAGGCCAGTGGTGGGGGAAGGTCCACGGGTCTCGGGAGGAGAGTGCAAACTGTGAATTACAGTGTGCTTGTCTTGTTGCTTCAATGAAGAGGCCTGATTGAGGCAAGTCAGGCTCCACCTGCTTTTCCTGGGTCCTGTCTCGAGGGACAGAGAGCAGCTAAATCCTAGTGTGTACTAAACCAATGAGGGTCAAATAAGCTAAATGCAGCTGAAATTCCTTTTCCCTTATAAGCTGGGAAAGTAGTGAAGACCTGTGTCTTAGAGGGCTTCTCAGGTCCATTTGGACGTCCTTTCGTACACACACAGTCTTCTGTTTGTCCCCAACCCTCCTAAGCTTGGGTTGACTTTCAGTAGTGGACAGTCTCTGGGGTCTGAATCTACCTGGGTTTTGAGCCTACCCAGGACCTCTTCCCTGTTCCTCAGGGCAGTGCGGTGGTTTAGGACACCAGAAAATGGAGAGAGAACAAGCCTTCCCAGGTTAGGTTAAGGATCTGCCTTCCCCAGTGCCATTTCTCTGATGTCGTCCTCAAAGCCAGCTGGAGAACTTGGTCCATTTATCGGTCCCAAGAGGAGGGTGAGTGGTCAGTATATTCAGGTAACATACCTCTTGGTTGTGTCTTAAGTGAAGGTCCTGGAAGGGCTCAGAGGGTTAATTGGTTTGCAGTGTGTCTTTGTCTATTGCATGTCTTGGAAAACTCAGATCCCAAAGGCGTTGGGTTTCAGAGAGAACGGTGGAGACCTTGCTCCTTTTTGTTAGGGACTTCGCTGGACAGCCAGCCTCTCCCAAATTTAAGAGGAGGCTGTTTCCACAACTTCTCTGAGGAAACACTTGGCAGAGGAGTTGTTCCTTCCCAGTTTCCAGTACCATGGTTTTTCCTTTCCTTTCTTCTCCATTCCCTGATCCATCAACACTTAAAATTCAGAGAAATTTCCTAGGAGTCAGAACCAGCACCTGCCACTTGGTGTTGATGGCAACTGAGGCTTAACATTCAGCTTCCCAGCTGGACCGGCTGCAGATACCCACGGAACGCACCATGGGAAAGCCAGGGCCTTCGAATGCCAGCGAGTGTGAATATGTGTGTCTGTTGTCTGAGAGAGATTAGGGAGATAACATGTACTCGAGGGCATAGAGAAAGGACTCATGAGAGTCCTATATGGCTCAGAGGGTGGCGGGGAGGAGGGCCGGGGCTTGGGGGAAGGAGCAGCCTTGTGTTAAACTGTGTTCAGTGAACAGCCTGTGCCCAGGAGGGCAGCCCAGGGCTCTTCAGGGGCTCCTGTGCTTCCCCTGGGCACAAGTGGTCCTGGGGGCCTTGACCACAGGCACGAGTCAGGATCCACCAGCACCAGGAAATCATCCCGGACCAGAAGGAAAGTAGAAACAAAGGCAGAGTGAGAGGCACTCTGAGGATTAGGCAGTGTAAGCAAGTCGGTATTCGGTGAGGTCCACATGAGAGCTGCAGTTTTGGGGCATTCCTGTTCCCTAGAATCACTAGCATTGCGGGTGAGCTGCCAGGGAGGCTGTAGCCTTTGGCTTTGGAGAGTGCGTGACTCTCCTGCAAGAAAACCTGAGGCTTCAAAGTGTCAGGAAAGAAAAGTGAGTTCCCTAAGGTGCATCCAAGGAGCCTGGTGATTCAGGGCTGATGAGCTGGAATGTGTCCTGGACTTTTCTTCTCATTAAAAAAAACACCCCAAAACCAAAACCCAAATATCATTCGCCTCATCTCCACATCATTTGCCCTGTTGGCAGGGTGCAAGCTGCTTCCCGCCCATGAGCTGCTTTGGCAGATCTGTTTTTCTCGGCACAGTCAGGGAAATAAAAAATGCAGACCTGTGTGGGCATTGCCTTAGTTGTCAATGTCACCACTGCTGGGGGGCGGCGGGGAGTGGGGCTAATACGTTTATAGAATATTTGTATTTTCAGAGGGGCCACATCAGTGTGCTCCCCACACCTGAGGTTTCTTCCCTCCATCTGTTTTCCTCTTGGTGTCCCTTCTCTCTCACTCTGTTGTTCTTCTCACCATTGGACTTACCTTCTCTCTGCTGCCCACAGAGATCAGTCAGCAGAGACGTTAGTGCCTGGTTTCTGGCCAGCTCTGTGGAGGTGGGTTCCAAGCAGAATTTGGACTCTTTCCGGGGAGGAGGTTGGGAGCTGGGGAAATAAGATCCAGAGATTCCCCCAAGAGGAGTATCTGTAAATATTTATGCCTGAACAGTTGCTGAACCTTTCCAGTGTTCTTAGATTCTGACGTCATCAGGGAGAAAGTCTCAATAAAGTTCCAATCTCTCTTTAACACCTCGTACTTTCTGATTATCTCCAGCCAGGCTAATCCCTTTATCTTCCTTTTATCTAGTCAAGTGTTCTAATTTTCAAGTTTCTTGTGGATAGACTGGACATTTATAAATCACTCACCCTTGTTTTCGATGCCCCTGGTGCCTTCCTTGGGTGTGCTCCCTCCAGGAGTTGAATATGAATTGCTCCCTCCGATGGCCATGGCCGTTGGCCGTGAAACCAGGGCCCACTGTCCTGTAACCTGAAACTTAAGAGAACGTCTCCCTCCTCAGTACTTCACCTCATTATTCTCCCTGGCATCCACGCAGCTGCCCCAGGAACCTGCCAGCCCCAGTGGAGGAAGCCAGGAAGGCCTGTGTGGAAGGCAAGGGTGGCCGCTTCCCCAGGTACTCTGCCCCATCCACACAGTGTGGACTTGGGCCTCCTGCTTGGACCTGTCTTTAAAGAAACCTGAACACATCCTTGGCTCCCCTAAACCCTCCCACCACATTTTCTTGTCTCCAGAGCAGATCTCCTTTAATTTTGAAGCTTTACTTCTGGGATCCTGGAAGGAAAGAGTTTCACACCCTTGCTTGAGAGCAAGTTTTGAAGGGGGAAAAACTGGTCCCTGGGGAGGAGGTGGGAGGTTGGACATATCCAAAAGGGGAGCAGGGACTTAATGGTATGGACACCTGCTGACACAGGCATGCCACGGGTCATGGCTGCGGCCCCTCGGGTCTGGGTTCTCCTAACTCCAGAGGGGTTGACTGTAGGGCTCGGTGATGGAGTCTGCAGTACACGGTCTTTGCGCAACCAGAAATCTGATCTCATTAAGACTACTTCTGTTCACCCATGCCACCTTGAGTTCCCACTCACCCATTCCTGGGAGGAATTCAGGGCTTTTCCCCAGAAGAGGGAAGTGTGTTTTGAAGATAAACGTAATTAATATGCCAGAACCTGCCTCAAAATTGGGCTGTTTCACAAGCCTTGTACCTTACCACCTTCATGTTATCTGCCTTTACGGTGATAGAGAAACAAACCAAAAGGTCAGTTTTCTACCCATCCCAATATTTTTTCTACTATATTCCATCACATTAATTTGTGTTAATCTGGAGCCTAAAGCAAGTTGTGCACAGTATATTTTTCTGACACTAAAATAAATGATTTTGTATTTGGGAGGAGTGCAAAACTATTTGTTATATTTCCATTTTTTCAAACTTCTGGATTTTTTTTGCCACCACAATTTCAAAAGATCTGGAAATTGGGCATATTTATTAAGTCATACATGTCTCTGCCCTGGGGGACAGAGGAATCTGGAAAGGGGTACAAGGCACAGGCAATGGAGTGGTCAGGGAAGTCTACAGGACCACCATGTTTTCCAAATCATAAATCAAGATACAGCGTCTGGCAAAGAATTTTCTTTCTTATTTGCAAATGCAATTATTTGAAAAGCCTGACCAATACATATAAATTGTTAAATTTATTTAAATGCATAATGGGTTACTTTGTTGAGTAGAATCAATTTACACATCAGAACTCTTCTGAGAATCCTGAAACACACAAAGGAGTGATCAGGGGTCATTGAGCTTGGGGAAGGAGGGGATTTCAGCTGCACTTTGAGGGGTGGGCATGTTTGGTGGGTCACAGATTAGAGGGATGGAACCTGGGGGAAGGAAGCCCTATGTTGAAGGGTAAGAGTGCAGTTACACTGAGATGAGGTGAGTTTGGGAAAACCAGCGGGTCTTTAGTGGAAGCCCAGGCAGTCTGGGCCTGAGGCCACTGCAGGTTTTTGAGCAGGGGAGGGCCAGAGGGCAGCAGGTAAGATCCGGCTGTAGCTGCACGTGCACCACGGCCAACCTGAGAGAATAAAGCTTTGCGCCCGGGAGCCGACTGCCGCTCCTGGGACTGCTGAGTGGGGGCTCAGGGATCTCTGTCGCCTCCAACTCTGCCCCACTCCGATGAGCTGGAAACCAGCGGATGGAGCCCCAAAAGGAGGCTGCGAGCAGAAGCCCACCTCATCAGCCTGGCCCTGCCTGGGAGCCTCTGGTGGGCCCTGGACGCCGCCTGCCCTAGACATACCCCAGTTCTATCCCTTCTCCGGCCCTCCGTGGATCCAGGAGACGGGGGTGTACCTGGCCCTCGTCTGCCTACCAGGCGTGGACTGGCTCCCAGCGACGGCAGGGGCAGGGCCACAGGACGACTCCTGGACCGACCTCCGCCTTTGCTGACCGCGGGGGCTGCAGCCCGGACCTCACGGCGGCGGGTCCGGCCACTCTTCCCTCCTCTGAGGGAAAACGTCGCGGCTGGAAGGGCCCCAGCCTTCCTCAGTGCACCCCCTCTCCTTAAAGGGGAAACTGAGGCCCGGGGCAGGGCAGGTCCACACCAGGGTCGCAAGGTGGGGGAAGCGGGCACCTGTCTGGGATCCGCCTCGCCCTGCCAGCCCGGCTTCTCGCGCGCACGTGGCCGTCCCCGAGGCGACCCAGCAGCCGCGACGCACTAGCACTTTCCCACCACCCGGCTCGCGCACGCGCACGCCCACGCGCACGCGCACCACTGTCGGGATCGGCCCCGCCTCCCCCGGGCCGTGCGCTTGGGCGGAGTCACGCGCCGTGGCCCGCGCAGGCGCAGACGGAGACGAGCGGCGGCGGCGCTTCGCGAACGCGGAGCTGCTGTGGGCGGCTTAGGGGGCGGCGACCTGGCGCTGGGGGTGGGACGCGGTGCCAGCGCCCGCTGGCAGCTTTCAGGGAGCGCTGGGCTGCACCTCCGCCCCTCCTCGCCCCGGACCTGAACCCCGTGCCCCGGGCAGAGCGGGCTGCCAGCTCCGTGGGCGCCGGCCCTGCCCCTCAGCCGAGGCGCGCGCTCCGGGCCGCCGCCGCCTCACGGGCGAACCTCTGCCCTTCCCGGCCTGCACCGACGGGCTGGGAGGGCGCCGAGGAGTTCAGAGCCCGGGGCCACCCTGGGGGCGAGACTGTGTCCTGAAGGCCGGTGTGGCTGTGCGCTCTTGAGGCCGCGGGACTCGGCCCGCCGTGCCCCACAGCGTGGCCGCCGGACGGACGACCCTGAGGCCCTGAGAAGATCTCGAAAGCTTTGACTGGGACCGGAAAAGGCCTTGAACTTGCTCAGTAACATGTCGTGACCGAGGCCACGCGGTCCTGGCGACGTGGGGGACGGAAAGAACATCGAGGACAGATTGGTGCTTGCAGTTAGTAGAGTGAGGTTTTCACCTGAGGCCAGCAGGAAATGAGAATTTGAAGAGATTGTCCAACCTAAGTGCCAGCTCCCTTTCCCCAGAAACGGACACAACATTGGAATCCAAACTGCCCTCTCCTGTCAGGGAGATCAGAAACCGTGCCCCGTTTCCCAGCTTCTGTGTGAGGGAGGTGGGGAAGCCCTTAGGGCCGATGAAAACTCCAATAGGGGGACAGGGAGGGTAAAAGCGTGGGTCTGTTGTGGCTCCTGAGTTCCCTAGGTCACTCATTTCAGGAGCTGAAAAGGCCTTGAGAGGTTCTGTAGGCCAGCTGCGGTGCCTCACACCTGTGATCTCAGCACTTTGGGAGTCTGAGGTGGGAGAATAGCTTGAAGCAGGAGTTCGAGAGCAGTCTGGGAAACACAGTGACACTCTGTCCCTACAAAAAAGAATTTTAGTTAGGGGAGCTTGATGGCTCATGCCTGTAGTCCCAGCAACTAGGGAAGCTGAGGCAGGAGGATCACTTGGGCCCAGGGGTTTGAGGTTGCAGTGAGCTATGATGACACACTTCAGCCTGGGAGGCAGAGAGAGACCCTATTTTTTTTTTTTTTTTTTTTTAATTCTGTAGTAGCTCATCAAGTAGTCATTAGCCTCAATTTGAAACGTGTTTAGTGACAGGGATCTCAACTGAGGGCATTTCATGTCTTCTTACGGGAGGCTGGTTTGGCTCACGCCCTCTGCCCTAGAAGCCAGCTGTTTCCCCCGGGTTTCCCAGTGCAGAGACAGCATCACTTCCTGTGAGAATGCTTTGGTGTCAGTGTGGAGCTGCTTCTTTGTTTGGCCCCCTGGGTATGCTAGAACCTGGGAATGGGCCTCTGTGGCTAACCCAGGGTTGGTCAGTTGGTTACTGAAAGGAAAGGGAATTTATTTTTAATTTCCTGGGTTTTCTTGGCTGTTGCTTTGGAGTGGAGATCATTTAGCATCTGGTATCCTGATAGCCTGAGAGGAAATGTCTTTGGAAAGGAGTTAGGTTACTACTGGGTAAGATTGAGTTGACGTGAGAGTGTAGAGTAGGGAGAAGTGCTGAGCAGCTAACCTGGCCATTGTTGCTCTCTTCATTAGAGAGCTTTATTCCCTTTTGTGCATCCCTCTCCCAGGTTTTACAGAACACCTGGTAGTGGCAAGGAATTGTAGCACGAACCTTAGCAACAAACCAATGGCCTGTTTGGTGGGGCAAGTCTCACCAGCACCGCTAAAGTGGCCTGCTGTGGAGCAGAAACCTCAGCTTGAAAGCACCGAGCCCTTTCATGCACACTTGCTTTACAATCTCTCTTTTTCCCTTTTTTTTGGCCTCTGCTTTCCTAGATGGTTCCATAAAGTCTTTCATTTGTTGTTCAATTTGTTATTTAAGCCCCTCAAGCATGGAAAAGGAACCTAATATATATCAAGCACATACTATGTGCCTGACACTCTGTGCCAGATGCTTCATGTCTATATTTCATTTATTTTCATAGCAATCTATTAGGTAGAAAGTATTAGGTAGGGACTTTGCAGCTGAGAAAAACCAAGACTTTGGTTAGAGATCCTGTCAAAGATTGCACAGCTCTTAAGGATAGAGCTAGGCATTTGAACTCTGGTCTAATCCCCAGGTCCATCTCAATGTAGTTCTTACTCATAATGAACCCTGCTGCTGCAGTATTTGGGTTCATCTTGTACTTTTGCTATTCAGAGCCCTTTCCTCATGCCATTGCCTGTGTCCCTGGGGCTTAGGCATGTCAAGTGTACTGTTTCAACTCACCCTTGTGGGCTTCCACATGGATTTGCCTAATATTTTATTGCATCCTTAGCCCATACATCCTTTATTCCTTTTCAGGTGATTCTCCATCTGGGAGGCCATTTCTGAATGGCCAAACCCAGCTCAGATGTCAGCTCCACCATGAAGTCCAAACACCTTTGTGAGCCTTCTCGAAAGGATTTATTACGTTATTTCCTGTGTTACTATAATTTGGGTATGTAACTTATGTTCTTTGTTGGGGGACAGGGATTGTACAGTACTAGGGTCTCTCCAGTTGCTAACAGAGGACCTCACACATAGTAAGCTACTAGTGAATAAATGCATCATGGGAGCTCTTTACAGAGAAAAGGATTTGTAAAGTGAAGATTTCTCCCTCAGCTTTTACATGTTGACTTTGCTTAAAACAAGATTTGACAGTGAGCTAAATGTCCTGATTGAGTCTAGGGTGGTGGTAAGGGCACCCAGAAGGGAAAAAAGGTTCTCTGTATTTTCTTTGAGAGCTTTGAATTTGGGGGAATGAAGAGACACTGATGCAGGCAGGCAGTGGAGAACAGGCTGCTCAGGTAGAGGGCCCCTAGGCCCTACACATCTGTCTCTCCAGATGGGACTCAGAAGAGTGGTAAGCTGTGTCCCCTGGCCTTTATCATGTGCTGCAGCTTTTCCGAGGCCATCCCCTGCACTCCCTGAGTCCCTTTATGTTTGTTCTGATAGGCAAAGGCCATCACTACTTTTGCTTTCACCACTGGGGATGAGAGAGACCTTGACCATAATGGCAGCCCTCCCTCACTGGGACCTGAGTTGGCTCAGAGCACCCATTCCCCATATCACCCAAGACAGACAGATGCTGGGGCCCTTCATCAGAGAACGAGTGTGGGCTGGAATGACTCACCTACTCTGTCACCGCCTACAGCTCAGCTCAGAGCCCTTGGGAATCAAAACACTTTAAAGGCACAGAAGGCTCTCCTTAGAGATAGCAGCTTGGGTTCCTGCTTCTACAAATGCCTGCCACTGTCCTGATGCTTTAAAGTCTAGGTTATTCACCTAGGTGGACATATAGGAAAAACATTTATTGGGCATCAGGCAGGTGGGAAGGGGGAGGTGGGGATAGGTATATACAAACATAATGAGTGAGATGTGCAACATTTGGGGGATGGTCAGAGCTTGAAGCTCTGACTCGAGGGGGGAGGGGGGCATAGGCAATATACGTAACCTTAACATTTGTACCCCAATAATATGCTGAAATAAAAATAAATAAAGTCTAGGTTATTGAGGATCCATCCAACTGAATGGTCATGGAAAATAGGTAGAAGCAGCAACCTTAGAACATAGTGCCCTAATCTGGGCATCAGACAACCTAGATTTTAACTGGGCTCTGCCAGAAGTTCCTTACTGTGTGTCTATAAAGGAAGGACTTTCATTCTTTTAGTAAACATTGTTTTTTTGACCATCGACTCCTACTGTGCTAACTAAGGACAGAGAGGGTTATGAAAAGTCAAAACCTATCTCTAACCATGATAGTCTCTCAGCTTTTGTAAATAAATACAAGTTGAGGTAACACATGCTACATTGTACTATACATAGTCCCTCTCTTATGGGAGGGAAACTAACTCATCCCAGGGGAAATGAGTGAGTGAGATTAGATTTAACTGAAGAGTTGACAGTTGAGCCAGACCTTAAAATTCTTTTGGCAAATAAGAGTAAGTCTGTTGCATCTTTGGGGAATATTGTGTAGTATTTTGTCAATGGAATGTAGAGGGCCAGTGAGGATGAAGAGAAGAGATTAGAGTTGAAGGTCTCTCTGGGCCTAGCAAAGAAGGGCCTTTGTAGGTCTTGCAAAATTTGGACCTTATCCTGAGGGCAGAGAGGAGACATTGAACTGTTTTAAGGTTAAGGGCAAGACATGATCAGATTTGTGTTGTAGAAAGATCACTATAGCTGTGATGTGGAGGATGAATCAGAAGAGTCAAAGATGAAGAGGGAGAGATACTAGTTAAAACAAAATTAGACTGTCACAGGAAAGAAAGTTTGAGGACCTCAACTAGGGGATTAGAAAAGAGGGCTGGACTAGATAATTCCTGAGACCAAAGTTCTGTGCTCCTGAACCCACCTGTGCTTTGGTGCTTTATGTGCTGCCTTTTCCCTAGCCCACTCCTGGGTGATTACCTTGATTACTTGCTCATGATCCATCCTTGGGGGACTGTGACCTGCTTGGATTTTGACCCTGTCCCATTTCCCTGTTTGTCTGTTCTGTTCATCCCTGAAGTCTTACTGGAGATGAGACTCAGCTCATTGGAGACCAACTAGTAGAAAGCTACTCTCTGTCTCACTCCCACCTCTGGTCCTGACTCTGCTCTCCCCCCGGTGTGGGACCTGAGATCTCCAGATTGGTAATGGCATCTATGCTGTTTTTCTCATTACTCTTTCCAAGAGGAAAGATGAGACACCATGTCTCATTGAAAACTGTTGACAAGCAGGAACTAGAAAAATGGATTAAAGACCAAGTTTGTGACCTTGGTCTAAGAGAGCAGAAGGTGAGACATGGGGGCAGTCCTGGGTGGTGACTGAGCAAGTCTGAGCACCTTGATTTAAATTTAGATCAGCTCTATAAACTGTAATCCAAAAACCAGAAGTACATGTCTTCTCCTAATTCCTTCACTGTTTCTATTCCCAGCTAGGGTTACAAGTACTGCCCTTTCTTGCTCTACTTGTTTGTAAAACTGTCATCTTGTGATTCTTGGGCCTGTGGACTTTAGCAATCAGTCAACAGATAGATTCTTAGAACCTATGGGGTGCCTCATAGTAGCAGGGGTAGGATATAGATACCCCCTGGCTACATCCTCCAGGAACCAGACGACTGATATTTTCATCTAGTTGAGGAAGCAAAACACACATGAGAGCCAACTGTAGAAAAGAAAACACCAATAGTCAAGAGGGAAGTTAGAATTTGGTGGTACATGCTGCAAGTACCATAGAACCTAAAAAGATAGGCAGTAAGTGGTCTAGGTCTCTTAGTTGTTTCAAGTTGGGAGTTGAATCCACCTAGATCTGGCCTAAGGATAGAAGCTGGATCCTAACTAGCCTCAGTGTGAGGTTGGGGGCCAAGCAGCACTTAATGTGGCAACATCCTATTATCCAAATTTTCCTGCTGTTTCCTCAGCCTGCATCTCCTCACTAGTTCAGATTCTCCATTTATCCTGCAATGCCCAGCCCAAATGCCTCTTTTTTCATGTAGACTCTTTCCTCCCACCAGTCAGAATTGTTGCTATCTTCTCTGTTCTGCAGCCCTCTGTTTATAACTCTGTTGTGACATTTATTTCATCTTATGTATTTGAGTGTTTTCATCAGTTCCACTAGATTGTTAGCTTCTTGTTAGCAGGGACTATATCTGATTCATTTCTCTAACACCCAGTGACTAGCTTAGAATGGTACCCTGCTCAGAAAATGCTTGTTAAATGGTTGAACACCATTTTAACAGATTCATTCTCCTTGTATTTCAGTCATATAAAATTAGTTCTGTAAAAGTAATCCTAAAACCACAGGGGGGAAGGCCTGCTTTCTGAGGCCAGTTTTTGGCAGGGGGAACACAAAGTGAGCTTGAATGTCATTTGAGATAGAACTTGTGTGGACACACAAAAGAAGGGTATCCAACCTACTCTTGGTCTTGACCCTTTGGGACCAAAGGGACAAAGTGGAGCATGAGTGGTGAGAAGGCCCTCGAGTGTGTCTTATGGAGGGAATACTGGAGTCAGAAGAATTAGGGACTAGTTGTGATCCAGTCTCTGGTGACATTATACTTGCCTTGTTGATCTTATAGGATTATTCTATGAACCAAATGAGATAATAAATATGTGAGTTCCTTGAAAAGTACAAAGTGTTACTTAGATATTAGGCATCCTTATGATTTTCTTACTGCCTCCTCATCCTGCCTTCATTGCTTCTACAAAGAGAGCTCTCAGATCATTAGCTACTAAGGTCAGCTTGAAAGAGCTTGGGCAGTCTCTATTTGAGTTCTCCTTTAGACCCAAGGACTAGAGCCAAAATGCTAGAGAGAGAACAACAGGGTTTTTCCAAACCGGGTGACCTTGAGTAAATCACTTCAACTCTCTGAGCCTCAGTTTCCTCATCCGTAAAATGGAGATGATAATCTCTACCTGACCTAACTTCTAGGGCTATAGGGAGGATCAAATGAGATAATGAGTGTGACACTGCCTTGTAAACTGTAAAGATTTGTGCAAATGCTATGGATTTATTTTTTAATCTGTGCTTGAGGGCTCTGTATGAAATTTGCCAGGGCTGTTGCACATCTAGATGGTGACATCATATGCATGTTATTGAAGTTCAGGGTGGGGCACAGAAGACAGGCTCAGAGTCATGGAGGCAGGGTAGAATACAGAAGGGAACTCCACCCACTGCCTGCCTGTGGAAGCCCTGATTCAGTTGTCACTCATTTTTCTGACTTGAAGAAATTTAATCTCATTTCTGAACTGTCAAAGACTTCTGCCATGACCTCTGTGCTCAGGGGGCACTTTGATTAAAGCTCAAGAGTAAGGGCCACTCTGACTTGTCTCCAGGGTCGAGCTTGGTGCCAGGAAGCAGAAGAATAAGTTTGTTGTTGAAAAAATACAGGCAGTACATTTTGTGAGACCTCCTCATCATCCTAATTCTTACTTCTTTTGTGATTCCTCTCCAAATTCCAGTTGTAGATAAATATAAAAAATGACATGATTCAGAGAAATGGAGGCCCAAATCACACTTGAAAACATAACTGGCCAGTATCAATGAAAAGCCAAGTATCCTCACAAGTAAAATGAGGATAGTGAGAATGACACCTACTTTCTAGTTTTGCCCAGCATAAGGGGCTCCTTCCGCCCCATCATCTGCCTTGAGGATGGAGATGCCCTTGTGAAAATGCCTGCTGCACAACAGGTCCTTGCTACGCCTTAGATTCCTTCCTCTTTTCCACCCCTACTGCCAGTGCCTGGGTTCAGCCTCATTATTTCTTATCTGCTGATACACCCCATTCAGAAATGGGGTATTATGATCCAGGGGCTTTGTTAATCCCAGGAAGCTGTGGAGCCAGAGTCTGATGGGAAGGGCTCTCTGTCTGCCTGTGCCAGGTAGTTTTTTTGTTTTTTTTTTAGACAGAGTCTTGCTTTGTTGCCTGGGCTAGAGTAAGTGCCGTGACGTCAGCCTAGCTCACAGCAACCTCAAACT